TCCCCCATGTCCCACAGAGCGGGTCCAAGGGTAACACCTCTGGAAAACAGATTTAAGAATGGGGGCAGAACTGCACAGCTGCAGGCAGGAGAGAGGAGTGAGAATGTGTGAGGGGAACAGCTCTGCAGACCCAGGATGAGGGGAAGGAGATGCTCCAGGTGCCAGAGCTGAGATTCTCCTGAAGCCCGAGGTGAAGCCCAAGTGAGGCTGAGCCCAGGAACAAAGGAGGGTAACACAGCTTGGGTATAAACATTTCATTTCATTGCAGCTTGTAAACAAAACATCAGTCACAGCACAGTTCGGCCTCTCCCCACTTCAAGCCTGAACACATAAATTAACTTCTCTTCAATGTTAATGAATATTATTCTACTCACTTGCTCCTTGATCTATGAAACACTTATTGTCTCACTTCATAAAATACGTTTCCTGCACACCAAGCATTTTTCTCAATAACGTTCCTGCTCATTAGTATAAGGAACAATATTTTATCTGGTTTCATATATTGAAAATCTGGGACCAGCCTTTCAATGAAAGCACTGGAAAATATGTCAACGGGAAGTAGAGGTTACTAAGAAGAGAAACTACAAAACTTAAAAGCACTGAGTGAGGACAAACTTTCAGGAAGTCACAATGGTCGTGATAGGGCATTCCTAGGAGTAACATCATCCACCTCAGACTGTTCTACCAAAAGATTGTGTTTGTTTCTCAAACTTTCACCTGAGTTCATGTCAAAATTAGTCCAATAGAGCAGTGAAAACCAGTACAGTGTTCTTCTCCTTGGGAGATCACAGACAGCTTAGCATCATACTCAACATTTTTTACCCTTTCTGTAGGTGAAGGAATTTAAATACAAGGAGGTGTAAAAAATGACCGTGTCTGTTCTGAGCTGGGTTGAACCACTCATAGTCACTGCTGTGAGGAGTTCATCCGTTCCACAGAGTTCCACCAGCACCACTGACTTCCTGTCACACACAGTAGGAACCAGAAAACAATCCTACATAACAGGGGAAAAAACTAAAAGCCATGATAGTTTATTATTAATTTCAAAATCCAGGAGATTACAAAGATTCTGGAAGAGAAGGAACATTTGTCAGTGCCATCCTGAGCCTTCCTGCACAGCTCTTTCAATCTGCCTGTGTTCCTCCTCAAGCAGGACTGCCAGGAGTGCAATAAATCTCACACATTCCCAGCATGGGGGGATCCTGCCATGACCCCTGGGAGATGACACACATCAGATTTGTTCACAGCCCAGCCCAGCAACATCCACAGCTCAGCTGAGCGCCTCGGGTGAGACACAAATGTGGAGTCCAAATTTAGAGAGAAAAGAAGAGATCCTCTCTTAATCTGCTCTACATATTCAGCACAAGAGACAGATAAAAGAGGTGCCACAGTCACTGGGAGGTCAAAGCACTCAGCATCTTCCAGGAGGTGATCACCTCCCTGGATCAAGGCATATTTCTTTTTCCCTTAGGGGCCTCCATAACTTCCCCCCAATAAAATGAAACTGCAGCTATCCACATTAATTTTCTCTAGGCTGAAGCTTTCAAATGTGAATTTTTCTGCCTCAGATCAGAGGGTCCTGATGCCATCACTAACGAGTGAGAAGCTTCCAGTGCATATTTATTAAAAATCCACTGTGGCTTAATATACTTCAATAAAACTTGCTCTTTTCCTCCTAAAGAAAAATTCCTCTTAAACCATAGGTTCTCCTGCTGCTTTAGTTTGCTGGAAAGCCCATGAAGTTAAACCCACCCATGGCTGCTTTGGTTATTATGCAAATTCCAGCCATCAGAGTTATATAAGTGCTTATGCAATGAAAAGAGACATAATAACAAACCTGCCCATGTCACTGAGAGTTATTTACAAGAGCAATAAATCAAAAGTTCTGTTTTGCTTTATATTTAAGGGCCTACTGCACAGGCAAAATGTCATATATGCCCAAAATTTGCTTTCAGTCACTTCCACCTCCCAAAGAAAAAGAAAACTACAATTCAGCTGCCTGCTGAAGGCTATTCCTTAGTCAGAGTCCATGCAAAATTGTATTAGAAGCTTTGAAGTTAAAACATGAACATTGACTACCAGGGAGGGCCCTAAAGACAAAGACATTTACTGACTGTAAATGTTCAGTGAAGACAAAGGTCACCTTCTACTTTCCCAAAATCAAACCATGTTGGAAACTCCACATCCCGCTCTCAGGTTTTGCTTCGGAGCAGAAATCTTTTCATGGAAGGAATCAGCAGTGAAATGTTATTAACCTTGGTGATTGATTACGTTGTAATTGCCAAGTTATGATAACCTCAGAGGCCATGGGAGGCTCAGCAGAGCCTCAGCTGGTGGGACACAGGAATCTGATTCATCCCAGCTCCAGAGCAGATGGGGCATGAGCAGAGGAGCTGCTGGGCAAACCAAGCCTCCAGCCTGCAGGAAATGAGGTTTTATCTCAACTGGTGGCTTTGGGCCAAATCAAGCAGGAAACAAACCCTTTTGAAAATGCCCACAAACTGGAAATTCCCAGAAGGGTCGCTTCACAAACATCAAAACACCATTCCCAAGTTCCCAAGGCTGCAGCTGATCGGTGACATCGTCCCTAGCAGCAGCACACAGCAGCTGAGGGAGCTCCCCAAGCTCCCTGGCTCCTGTGCAGAGGGTGCTGAGGACACCCTGGGCAGGCTGCCCAGAGCCACAGCTCCATGGCAGGGAGTGCAGGAGCTCCAGCAGTCCGGCCTCAGCCCAGCTCTCAGTGCTCCCAGCCATGGAAATCACTGTGGAGCTCAGGCTCCCAGCTCTTCCCTGCTTTCAGCTCCACAGCCTTTGGAAGTGGTAGCCCAAGGCCACCAGCGGGAGTTTCGAGCCCCCAGACCCTGGACAGAGAACTCCAAGGCAGAGTTGCCTGGGTTGAGCTGCTCCAGGAACCAGGAAAGAACTCCTCAAATGGGATAAGTTCAACCAAAACATGTCAGGATGTGCTATTTCCAGCTAAACTTGGACCAGTTCATCTCCAAAGGCTTAACTCTCCACTGCTTACCTTCATCCGAAGTCTTTTGTATTTATGACACACAGGGAAAAGAGCTTATCCAGACCAGCTTTTGGATCATGAGATAAGTGTCTGACACCATTATTTACAGATATCAGAAATTCACAGCAATGCCTTTGGCTGCTCTGTGTGCCCTGGCTGTTCCCTGCCACCTCTTACCACAAGGAGCCTCCTCAGATCTCCTGGCAACTGTTCACAGAGTTGAGATGAAGAAATGTCAGACTTTGGGAATAAGCTGGAGTTTGTGTTCTGTGTAGAAAGGTAAATTATGCACTGAGAGCAGGGCAAAGCAAAGACAAAGTGTGACCTCTGTATTTGCACATCTGCTTCAGTTCACACTCCAAGGGAGATTTGTTATTAAAAACTTCAGGTAACTGATCTGCATTTTGAAGAATGTGAAGAAGAAGCAGTGCTGCCCAGGATTCACAGCAGGACAGTGTGACATTGCTCTTGGTTCTGCAGTGAAGATTAAAGTCTTCAAAGAATCAGTTCTTTTCTAAATCTCTGCTCTGTGATCCAGTGCCCTGAAGGTCCCTTACTTACTTCCCACCCCTTTTAACAAAGAGGGTTTCAATGAAGTTTTTCATCTTTATCCAACCCTTTTTCTCCTTGTTGAGCACATTACTTACTTGGAGATATTTTAATGCAACACTGCAATTACATTTCTTCTGCATTTTACACTTAAATGATCACATGAATTAAAAAAGAATGCACAGAGGTCTGAGTGGATGGGGATGGTGGTCTGGTTTGCAGAGCTTGAGCTGGGCTCTTCTCCAGGCCCTTTTTTCAGCAGTTTAACTGCTCTGATGACCTTTGTTCCCAACTGTACCTTTGAAGTCTGGTCACTGCAGCAGAAACCCAGACTTCCTTACCCAAAAAGTCAAAAATTGAATCTGAATCACCAGGTTTTCCCCACTGCAACAGCTGTTCTGGCCCAAAGTGATTTAGCCTTTTAAAGTACTGCCAAATGAAAGTTCTGGATTAGTAGATCCCAACCAATTAATTATCTCATCATCACCACACAGAACCTTTAGACTGAAGGAGGTACACAGGGATGATTTAAGGCCATACTTATCTTCTATAATTTCTTTTAAAACAGCCCCACAGACAGAGGTCTGTATTTATCCAAAGAATCTTAATGTGTTGGCTAAACTTCAGGCAGAGATTTAGGTTAATGCACCTCATCTATCCCGTTAAAGTAGCAATTATGCATGTGGAAGAAAAGTGTTTCCAGGGCCCCTGAAGTCCGTGCCAGTAAAGCACCAACTGCAGCTGCAATTTACAAGAAAAGAAAAGTTAGAGCAACAGCTCTACAATTTACAAACCAGGATTATAAACAGAACATTCCCAATGCAAAGATTTAATTGATAGAATTGTGGGGACAGGGAGATCATCTCATTTAGTAAAAAAAACCTCAACACCCGCCCCCCCCCAAATCCCATGTGTGACTCTAAACATGTGTTTGAAAATACCAAAGAACTATGACATTTTTGTTCTGCCAGAAAAATGATCACATCTTGATTGAATACTTTGCCTTCTCATTTCCTTTTCCAAGCTGAAATGTCAACTATTTTAAGCAAAATCCAACTATTACCCAACCACAAACCAGAAGAGAACCTTGCTGCCACAGCTGGCCCTGAAAAGGTGCATTCCAGTGCCACACTTGCAGTTTTACCATGAAGAAAACAGAGATGAAACCTTTCCAAGTGCTTTGCTGCCTAATGACACCATCAGCAGCATGTTATTAAAGCTCAACACTCTGACACTGCAGTCATTATGTCTGCAAACACCAAGACATTATGGCAGGAGAAAATAATCCTTTTATTGAAAGCAAGGAGGTCTCACTGTGACAGGTGAATGTTTTACTCCCGAGATGAACCCCATATACAGAACTATTTTTATGCAGTTTTCATGTTCCATTTACACAATTTGCTGGCTTAAAAGGCTTTAACAGTCAATCAAGGGTTCAAGTATTAAGCTGCAGAACAGAAGAAAATTATATTGTGTTATTGAAGTCAGGTAGATAAACAACACCTCCTGATTGTGATGGTACCATTATGTGCCTCAGGATGAACAGAGAGAGAAAACATCCACCTGGTTTCATATTCCAAATACTTGCTGAGATTCATGTATAAATGGATGAAAGAACAGAGAGGGTTATTGTGTAATATTTTAATATCATAAAGACAAATTTATGCAAACCAGGAAAAAAGGAAAGTAGGGTTTATGTCTTGTGTGGAGTTCTGCCTTCCTGAATTTGTGTTTATTGTTCTGACAAGCTACAAAAATAAAAGACATAAATACAGAGACAACAGTAAATGTGTATCTCTTCTTTTGCAAGAAAACTGTCACAATATTATGCTCATTAAAAAGCTTTCTAAAACTAATAGCTCAGTGAAACACTAGACTTAATGCCTTGAGATAAATATCTTGCAACAGAGCTGTTTAAGCCACTGTAAAAACAAACCTCTTAAACAGCAGAAGCACAAACACCAAGCAAACAACAGAGAACCTGTGTTCCCTGAAGTCACTTTGCAGACTTGCACTGACTCCAGGAAGAACTAGATCAAAAGAAAAGCTTTCACTTTGTTTATATTTCCTTTGGGGCTGAATCTTCCTTTACTTCCTTGCTACACCCAGCCAAAGATGGACTCATCCTAGAGGAAAAAAGTGATAAAAGTGAGTTGGTACATTCCCATTAATAGTAAAAAAAAAGTCTCTCTAGCAAGTGGGGCAAATGAAGACTGTTCACATTCTGCAGATTGAACTTTAGACCACCAGGGAAGGATTTAGCTCAAGAAGAAGGCAAAAAACCTCCCTTTGCCTTGGCAAAGCACAGAGCCCTCCCTGGGAGGATGGAGCTGCTCTGGCCCCAAATGTGAAATCTTGAAAATATTGGAGCTCAGTGTCAGTAATACTTTAGAAAATAACTGGCACTTATAATAACACATTAAACAAGATTAGTGCATGTTGTTAATATTAATAATTTAATATTTTAGGGGTTTTTTGGCCTTTAATAGACTGCCTACATACCCTGTCCAGGTATGCCCCATTCTGTGACCTCTGCATCCTGTCAGAGCCTGCAGGAGAAGGAAAATCATCATTTGCAGCCACATGGAATCTAATCTTAATTGCAACATTCCAAGGAGTAAATAGGTAGCATTAAAATTTAAGTAGACTTTTGTTCTCTCAAAAAACCTATTTATAGAGGTAATAAAATGCAGCATTAATTTTCTAGATTTATTAATCTAGGGAAAATAAAGAAGAAGATAAAAATGAACCCAGTTTATTCAGGCTTGTTGATCCCTATCTAAATAGCTTCTAGAATTATTCCATTTGCTTCTTGATTAATGAAAAATTCAGATCAATAGGAGACTTATCTCCTAGATTTGATGTTGAGCAAAATCTGCTAATTAGAAAGAAGGTATTAGAGTTGATGGTTTTCACTGAAATAGGACTTAATAGGAGATTCTCAGTTAAAGCTCCTGAGAAAGGGGGTAAAATTACAATTAAGGATAGAGTAAGAGGGGAGGAGGAGGGATTGGCTGGTGAGGTTTTCCAAGTCACTGGAAATTACATATAAAGAAAATGCTCTCTCTCTCATTTCTACAAGAAATGAGTGGCTGAAAAGGGGGCAAGCCCTTCCATAAATCCAAGGTTAAACAGCACATGGTGATCCATAACAAACAGAAAAGCAGCCATTAGAGTAAGATGACAAATCCACACAGGAAATCATATAAGAAAATAATTTGTGGGGTTTTTTTTCTTAAAATAACTTGAAATCTAATAACCTATTAAAGATTTCCCCTCATTTTTCCTCGATACTTGTTCTTCTTTTTCTTGAAGTCAAACAGGCAAATCCAGGAAGATTTTTTTTTTTTAAATTCACTGTCTTACACATCCATGGATGTGTGTGTCTTACACACAGATATATGTCCAACATATACATTGATAGCTTTGCACACACACTTCTGCAGTGATCTCAGCTGCGGCAGAAAGCACATGGAACAGTTTCCATGGGAGGAGAGGTTTACTAGGTTGGAACTTCTTAGCACAAAAATATGACAGAGGCCAATGGAACCTTGGATATGAATATGAATAGCACATGATGAATAATTAATATCATGTCATAATTCCAGAATTAATCAGGAATTGGGTTTAAAGCCAACAGAAGAAGTGTTTTTGCACACAATGCAGAATATTTGCACAATAATTGCAGAAGTTGTTGAAGCATATTTCAGTGGAATTTCTCCTCCTATTCAATGACATCCACTGGGGTAGAGATTTCTCTTCTGAACCAGAATTGCACTTCTTTTGTTCTCATGAAGAAGATTTTTAAGGGTGTATTTTTTTGCCATGTGTGTGGAAATCTAATCCAACATTTTACCAAATAAGACGCAGCCTGGAATGGTCCTACATTTTGGGATACACCCCAACATGCCCCCATGTGGAAAACTTCCATCAGCACCAATGCAAAGGAAGAAAAAGTGCTGTGGCTGAAAGTGGCATTTTAAACTTGCCTGGTAGCTCTTCATGGATTAGTATATTCTTTTTCCTAATAATTCATCCAACTGTGAAGCCAGAAATTCCAATTCCGTTTGTAAGCATACACTGTATTATCTTAAATTGTGCAGCAGCTACAATGCCTCTAATTGAAATTGGCTGAATGCAGAGCACCAGTTTTAATTCCCAAGTCATTTTCCAGTAATGAAAGAGCTGCATTCAGGGCACAGAGTGAGAACATGTTCCATGGTTTTGTTAAATTGTGTTACAGCAACCTTTAGGGAGCATCTAATTTATTTATTGTATGTAAGAAATCAACCACTATTTTCCTACGTGAAAAAATGAATTATTATTCATACAACTACTGCCTTGGACCCATCTGTGAATAAGTTTAATTACGTATTTCACATGTTCAGAAAAACTTGCAGATGTTTGACGTGCATGTCTTTAATATCAGGCTGCAGCAAACACTTTAACCATCCTTCCTCCATATTAACACACACAAGACCCTCCATGAAACAAAGGAGTTTTTCCAAAAAAGCTGGAAGTGCCTAAAGCGTGGAAGGAATTCCATTTGTGAGTTGTAAAACCTAGTACCCAAAAAACCCAGCTGAATGGACCTTAAACCTTGGGATCTTCACTTGTATTAATAATTCGTTTTCTCCAGTAAAATAAAACATTAGCAGTTCATTTCCTACCCTCTCCATCAAACTGGCTGCAGGTCAGCAGTCGACTTCTGAACCTTTCATTTTCCTCAAGCATTTTTGAAATCACTTTCCAGACTTTGTGCCAGACTTTGGACTGAAAGATAAAATGTGAAGCATATAAAAAGTTTGCATTAAAACATCTATAGGGCAGAACTTTGAACTCCCCACAATGACTATGAAGTCCAGCTGGGTTTTTCTATTGAGGACTGGGAAAGAAGGGAAGACGGAATGTGGGATACATGGAAGAATCACCACTATTTAGAAGTCAGAAACATAAATTCTTCCATGATTTTTCACATGAAATCTCCACCTCCTTTCTTGCCTAGAACTCTTGTGTTTATCCAGGACTTCAGAAAGCTCATGAAAACGTGTGTAGAACCATTAAACTCTCTTCAAAGTCATCCAAAATGGGAGACAAAAAAAGATTGTGGAGTTTTCCAGGAGCAAAAAGTTTCCCATGTGGTCCCTCAGCAGCAGCATAAGTGAGGCCCAAACTCAGATTCCAGAATAGCAACACTCTTGCCTATCTCATATATCAAATCCATATTAATTTGTTTTATAGATGTTGAAACCCTTTATTTTAGAGGCATAAAGCTCTGGCCATAGTGGGCAGGTTTCAGTCTTGTGCATTGAAAATACTAAATTGGAATTGTGGACAAAAGCATTCAGGCAGAGGTGGCCTAACAAATAGAAATGGCTGTTGACACGCTGATGTTTGGACTTTTGCTGGACCTCATCTGAGAAACTGGTTTAAATCTAAAGATAATTCCTTTCTCGAGGACATTAATAGCTAAAACATTCTGTATATTCCTCATTGTTATTGAAGGCTATTCAATGCACCAGGAGAGCCATATTCCAGGATGTTATTAGCTGTTCCTCTGCAGTTGGTAACATTTTGCTGTTTTTAAATCAAGCATCTACGACATGGCTCTGTTCTAGTCCAGCTGATTACTTGTACTTCACACATTACAGAATCTCATAATGAGTTACTGCTTAACAAATGTTCCTCTTAAAATTTTAGGCATTTGTCGAACTACTGAACAGGAACAGAAACACATTTGTGAAGCAGAAAGTAATTCTGCATTGCTCCAAGGATGGTGTTAATAGCTCAGGTTCCTGCCTCCACTTATTTGTAACCCGTGGGATTTCGTTGTTTAAAACATGAGAGGAAGAGGAGCTGCAGATCTTTTTCCTGCTGGGTTTCACCCCAAGGTGTGCTGCACCCTGGCCCCAATCCAGCAAAGCATTTCAGTACAGGCTTTTTAAGTCAACAGCATACTCTCATTTTTCAAGGTAAGCACACACTTAAGTGCTTTATTGAATAAGAGCCAGAATTTTAAAGCCTCCAGAGAGGGAAGATAATACCATTTTTTCTTTTCTGTAAGTAAGGCTTTCAGTAACAGGCTACCAATTCCATCTTTTAATCTCCCTCATGCTCTCACACACAGAGAACAAGCAGCTTTCTCAAATGCCAAGGCAGCTAATTGAGCTGCCACACTTTATACCTTTTTCTTCTTTCGTTTAATGACTTTATCAACGTTTCTTGAAGGGATGGGAAAGTCAAAGGTGTCAGCCTTAGCCTCTCGAGGGTCACCTAGAAAGAGTTTAGAAAGCATTTTTTGAGTACTTAGAATAAGTTCCTAAGGAAGATGTTGATCACTGGCACAGGTTGTTCGGAGAAGCTGTGGCTGCCCCGTCCCTGGAAGTGCCAGGACAGGTTGGATGGAGCTCTGAACAGCCTGGTCTGGTGCAAAATGTCCCTAGGAAGGGGGTGGGACTGGATGATCTTTAAGGTCCCTCCCAACTCAAACCACTCTATAATTCCAGAAGGATCCTTATTTCTGGTCACCTTACAGGGTATCAATCCTTACATCCTGCAGCTTGTTCCCTTCTTTTTTACTCTTTTATAACCATGGGGCAAGTGAGTGTCTCTCAAACATCACAAAACAGATTTCAAAACTACACACCACCCACACATTAGACAACAGGCTTCTGGGAGCTTTTAATTCCCTCTCTTTCCCAGAACTGGACACAGCAATCGAGGTATGACCTCGCCAGTGCCCAGAAGAGGGGAAGAATCACCCTGCCGGGTTTTGCTGTTCCTGGCACAATTAAGCCAACGCCTGAGCCACCTCCGGCCCTCAGAGAACCCGGGCTCTCACGTACCGCTGCTGGGGCGGCTGCCGGCTCTCCCCTCGCCGCCGCTGCCCGCTCTCCTCCCGCTGCCGCCCGGCCCGGGACTGCGCCCGCTCCGCGGCTCCGGGGCGGCCCTCGGGGCCCCAGCCCGGCCCGGGGGGCTCTGCTCGGGGCTCTGCTGCCAGCCCCGGCCCAGGCGGATCACGGTGCCGCAGCGGTGCGAGCCGAAGCTGTTCACGTACACGAGCGGCATGGGCGGGCGGCCGCGGCGGCCGCGCTCCATCTGCGGAGGGACCGAGGGCATGAGGGAAACCGGGGCTGGGGGCTGTGAGGGTAGCCGGAGACTGAGGTTTAGTGAGGAGAGACGAGGGTTGGTGAGAGGAGCGGGGCCTGAGGGGAACCGGCGACTGCGGCTAAGTGAGGGGAGCCGGGGGCTGAGAGGAGCCGCAGCTGAGGGGCGGCGAGGGGAGCGGGGGACCGAGGGGTCGCTGAGGGGAGCCGGGGCTGAGGGGCGGTGAGGGGAATTCAGGGGTCAATGAGGGGAACTGGGGACTGAGAGGAGCCAGGCTGGGGGTCTGTGAGGGGAACCGGAGATAGCTCAGTCAAAGGAGCCCAGGGTTGTGAAAACAACCAGGACTGAGAGGGCAGCGAGGGGTTGGTGAGAGGAGCCAGGGGCTGAGGGGAGCCGGGGGTCAGTGAGTGGAGCAGGGACTGACGGGCTGCGTGTCCCCCTGTCCCTGGGCCAGGGCTAGAGTTTAGCACACATTATTGCTGCCCGAAGCCACATATTGATACATTTCATGCAAGTGATTGATCTGTTTGTACCAGTGATAAGGGGACTCCAGGCTGAAGGTTTGATGGCTTGTTTGTCTCTACAGCAGGGGAACCCTGGCATCCCTTTGGTGCGGGTGCTGCTGCAGAGCCTGCACTGATACAGGGATTTCCTCTCCAAACAGTGCACCCACTCCAGCCATGTGCTGAACAGTAATGAAACATCAAATACCTTATTGACTTTCAGGCAGCAATAGATGTGTGACACTGACAGGATGCCTGGTGGGTCAGTCCAGCCCATGCAGATGCTCAGGGTCCCATTGCAGCCATGGGTTTTGTTGGCTGTGGACGGTGACGACTGGCATTCTCAAACCACTGAACAGCTCAAGTCATAGAATCGTGGAATGGTTTGGGTTGGAAGAAACCTTGAACACCATCCAGTTCCATTCCCTGCCATGTGCAGGGACCCCTTCCATTATCCCAGGTTGCTCTAAGCCCCATCCAACTTGGCCTTGAACACTTCCAGGGATGGGGCAGCCACAGCTTCTCTGGGTACCCTGTGCCAGGGCCTTCCCACCTTCACAGGGAAGAATTTACATCAAGTCCCACTGATGTTTTCTTTGTCACTAAAATACTGCTCCAGATTATTTCCCAGAGTTCAGTTTGCACAGGGTTGCAAATTAGAAATAATAAATTCTATGAAAATATCTATTTTTCCTAATTGTTTCAGCAGCACTGGCAGCATGAATGGTGTTGCCCTCGGGAATGGATGCAAAGAGACCACGAAGCAAACTGTGGCCATTCCCCAGGCTTTGAAGAGGCTGAGGGTCCCTGTGTGTGTTCAGAGAAGGGAACGGAGCTGGGTGAGCTGGGAAAGGGGCTCAGCCTGTAGAAAGGGAGGCTCGGGTGGAACTTCAGGCTCTGCACAACTCCCTGACAGGAGGGGACAGCCAGGTGGGCTACCATGACAAGAGGGAACGGCCTCAGGCTGGGCCAGGGCAGGCTCAGGGTGGGCACAGCAGGAATTTCCCCATAGAAAGGGTGCTCAGGCACTGGAACTGCCCAGGGAGGTTTGGAGAGGTGGCTCTGGGCTGGGGACAAGGTGTGGATGCGGCACAGGCTGGGCTCGGTGACCCCGCAGCTCCTTCCCCTCAGCGGTGCCCGCAGTGCGGGCGGGCCCCGGCAGGTGGCGGCCGCTCCCGCGGAACCGGCGCCGCCGCTCCGGCCGGCAGCGAGCGCGGCCTGCGGCATCCCCGGACTGCCGGCTCTCGTACGCGCTGCCCGCGAAAGGCATGTCGTGAATGCGGCTGCGAAAGAGGGGAAACAACTCGCAGAGGCACAGCCTGACAGAGTAATTCGTTGTTTCCTATTTATAAAAGGGCATCTCCTGCAGGCTGTGGGCTGAAAAGGAGGTTGTAGGTGTGATACAACCACCGAGTCAGGAGCCTTGAGATGAACTGTGACTTCAAACATCACCTGTGACCTCCTATATTTGGGAAAGGCTCTTTCCCCAAAGGGTGCTGGGCACTGCCCAGGCTCCCCAGGGATGGGCACGGCCCGAGGCTGCCAGAGCTCCAGGAGGGCTTGGACACTCCAGGGATCCCAGGGTGGGATTTTGGGGCTGTGCAGGGACAGGAGCTGGATCAATGATCCCTGTGGGTCCCTTCAGTCAGGATATTCTGTGGTTCTACAATTCTCAATTCCACTCCTGCACTAACCAAGTGTACCAGAGAGGCAGCAGCCAGCAAGTTCAGTTTGGAATATTTAACCCAAAAGCTCCATTAAAAATTGTTCCTGGCCTACAGACTTCCCCAGGTGCATCCATCCCAAAGCCCTGGTAAAGAAATGCCTTCTTTAGCTGCAATGCTGCCCACACCACAACCCCCAGTGAATGCTCATACACAAACCCAAAGAGCCCCGTGTTCATTCCATGACTGTCTCTGCATTGTGCAGGAACACTCGCTGCTGTATCTGCCAGGGCAGGAGCTGCCTGTGCCAGCTGGCAGCTGCTTCCTTCCTCCGGCCTCCTCAGGGCACCACGGCTGCCAAGGCAGTGGTTTCTCAGCACCTGTACTCACAGAAATGCTTCCACCCTGCTAATGCAAACACACAGACCTCGTGGGGCACATTGTGTCCACTTTTCCCAACAGCACGTTGCCAGCACTTTGATCTCAAATGCAAATTCAGCTCAGATCCTTTTTAGGATCTGCTGCTACCCGGCAAAATCAGTGCCACCTAAAATCTCTCTGCAGATCTGTCAAGTTCAGCTATTTTAGCTGCGCACTGCTCTTCACCCACCTTTCCACATGTGTGAACTGACTACCAGCTGCCCACTATCTCTGTATTAATCACCCCGAGCAAACATCTCAGCTTTTCACCACAGCTGCAACTGTCTGGTTAAAAATAGCCCAGATTCCAGCTTTCAGCCTGCACCTCATTGTGTGCTTGCTGCGTGCTCCAATGGCAGCTCCTCCATCTCACCCCTTGCTTCCTGAATTCCATTGTTTCAGTTTTGCTTCGGCCAAGGATGTGTCATCATCTGTGAGCCCTGACAGTCCTTTTCAAACGACTTTCATGAGGCAGTTTTTGGTGCCTGCAGCTGATGCCAAGGAGAAGGAAGGAAGGAGCCATTGGGACATTGCTGCACGCATGGTCAGAGATTCCCTGAAAAAACCCACCCTTCTGCTGCTGGGGGAGGTTTGGGTTTCTCTGAGCATTCTTTGCAGTGGAAAGTACTCACGTGATTCCACAGAAGTCACGGAATCCCAGAATGGATTGGGTGGACCTTTAAAGGTCATCTCATTCTGGCCCTGCCGTGGCAGGGACACCTTCCACTGTCCCAGGTGGCTCCAAGCCCTGTCCAGCCTGGCCTTGGGCACTGCCAGGGAGCCAGGGCCTGCCCACCCTCACAGGGAACAATTCCTTCCATACATCTCACCTAAACCTACCCTAAAATTCAACATTACTCAGGCAAAGCCACTGCTCATTAAGTGTAACATTGCCTTGATCAGCTGCAAGGGTGAATGTGTAGGTAGGACTGAGGTGGGACTCTGACACTGAACAGGGAAAAGTGTGCTCATTCTGACAACAGCTACACTCAAACCTTGTTAATTATACCCTCAGCAGTAGCACAAACAATTATTCTATCACCTTCATTTTCACAGAATATTTAATAAGTCACTGGAGTGAGGGATTTCATTAGTATGTGGTTACTGCACAAAAGACACTGGGGACCATTTATTAGTGTAACCAGGAATCATTATAAAAACAAAAGTCATGACTCCTGCTAAGTCAAAGCAATGAATTTGCCTTCAGCTGCTTCTTACTTCTTTCATCATTTAGCCTGCCTCAGTTAATTGTGTGAGCAGTAATGGGGCAGCAGAGAGAGAAAATGGAACAGCACCTGCATTTCACAGCAGTGAACCTGCACAGCTCCCACTGCTTTACAAACCACACACATGGGAATCTCTTCCTCCACACCACTCATAAGGAGAAGCCAGTTCTCCCATCTCTCCATGCTAGAGAGATGCTTGTGCATAAAAATATTTAGCAGACTATAAACTGTGTTACATAAAAGCCTGAGCCTCCCCTGGAGAGATCTCCACATCACTGAGAAGATCCATGGGCTTTGCAACAAAACCCACGTCAAAGAGATCAAAACCCCTGGCTTAGCAGAACTTTGTGCTACAGTATTTCAACAGATCACCAATTGGAAATGAAACTATGGGGAAAACAAGGAGACAAAATGAGCCCTGAGATTACACCAGAATGACACAGCCTGATTTGCAAGTAGATGAAGCAGAAGGCAGGTGAGGACTTCACTTGCTCTGATTTCATTTCCAGATGAAAAATGAACTAAATGTGCAAGCTATCAATATTTGTTTCCAAATCAGAGGCAGGGAAACTCTACCAAGTTTTAGACTGTAGAGACTATGATATTAAAGATTAAAAGTCTCCCTTCAGGGGAATGTGCAGTTAGATTCTGAGAGAACACACAGCTGAGGAAGTTCAGCCCTACCTGCCATAACCCTCCAGATGCTGAAAGAACCCTGGCTCATGCAGGATGTAAAATGCAAAAATCACTAGATCATCCCCAGATTCAGCATTAATGTGGATAACCCAAGACCAGGCACAGAAAGCTCACGATTTCTTACTTGTCCTCTGAGATCTAACAGGATCCCAGACAAAAGTGTGACCACCAACACACCTGGCTGCAGGAGTGCCCATCCCTGGAGGTGCCACTCGGTGCTCTGGGCTGGGGACAAGCTGGGGATGGGGCACAGCTTGGACTCGATGAACTCTGGGCTCTTTTCCAACCCAAAAGGTTCTGGGATTCTCAGCAGCAAGGCCACCCTATAACGGCACTGAGCATTCCCTCCTCCCTCCCCCAGAGACAGCAGGATGCTGCCAGGAGAGGAGCAGAGCAGGGCTCTGTCTCCATGGATTGCTCCCTCTGCAGAGAAAATGGAAGCAGTCACTGCTTTGTTCTGCCCTCCCATTCCTCCACAGACACCCCCTGCAAAAGCAACGCTT